CTGTTGTTAATCCTCCGCGCGCTCGGAATCGGATTCCGGTATCGGTTCTATCGTGGTAAACATTTTTCTCGGTGATAACTCGGAGCGTTAAATGGCCGAGAGTCGTTGGCCGAGAGCCGCCAAAGATACGTACGTTCAGAGGGATGCGTTCCCCGTCCCCCACTTCTTCGCTTTGCTTCGCTTCGTTTCGCTTTCCTTTCCTTTCCCGTTGTTTCTTTCGACGCACACCGTATATATTTTTCCTCTTATTTTTTTTTGTTTCTTTTTTTTTTCTTCCTTTATCCTTTCTTTTCTTTCCACTACACACAATGCACTAAACGAAGAAATCCGATTGATCGATACCGGCGACGTTCGCGTTTAACGCGTTATCGATCTTGGTAATACGCGTCGATGTGGAAAGAGATAACGAGTATGAACTAGAAATAAGTGTGAACGGTAAGAAGAATGAAAGGATATCGGATCGATGGGAAGAGGATGCCAAGGCGGAGAAGGGAAGCAATACGATCGAAAACATAAGGATCGTTCGAAGCTGTCAGATGGACCGTAACGTTGTTCTTTCCTGGTTCTCATCGTACGACCTCGGTATACGAACAAGGTAAAACTCATACATGGATGAAACGTTTTTTCTCTCGCTATGTCACACTTGCACACGCGCGCGCGCGCGCGCCCGCGCTTTGCTGCACCGTCGCTTTATAACCGCGCGGACTTTAGGCGAAAAAGCGCGCGCCAACGATCCGTGGCTCAAAGGCGACCCGCTGCCGAGCAGGGGGGGCCTTCTCGGTAAATAGCGTTCGCATTTGCGAACTCTCGTACGCGTGGAACTCTCGTACGCGTGAGCCCGTGCGCGCGTGACCCGTGCGTTAACACTCGTGCGTGCGCGGCCTGCGCGACACACGGCGTGCGTAGTCCACCTTTCGACAGGCGGCCCGACTCTTCGAGCAGTCGCGTTGTGACTGCCTCTTCGGACTTGCCACTGAAAGTGGAGAACGGGACGAAGAGTCCCACCTCCTCGTGCCACCTCCAACCGGGTGGGTACCAGCCCATCGGACCCTCCTTCTCCTTTCCTGTCCGACGTATCGCTCCTTCTACGCGCCACCATTCTTCCGTCTCTACCTCGATTCTCGAACCGTACCACCGAACCTTAGCCGTGCGTTAGACCGACGTCCCCACCGGCTGAACCCCCATGCCCTCTCCCCCTCCTCTCTCTCTCTCTCTCTCTCTCTCTCTCTCTCTCTCTTCTCCTTCCCTTTGCTGCTCCATACAAGATCTCGCTCTTTATCCCTCGGCTCGAGAGTACTGGCACGGAGTCATTGTCGTTTACGTACTACCTGGGAGGATATTTACCTGTCCGGTTTGACCCTAGGATAGTCTCGGTACTTTCACCTCGACTTGGAAATATCCTTGTCTTTAGGTTCCTAATGTAGGTAGAGAGAAAGAGAGAGAGAGAGAGAGAGAGAGAGAGAGAGAGAAAGAGGGGGGAGAGAGAGAGAGTTGTAGGACGGTCGACACCTGCTCGAAACCTATGCACCGAAATGCATACATATATAAATACTTTTTCGACATAATAGCTAAGATTTTCCTCCGTTCGAGGGTTTTCTTTACTTTTACCTTATCCGCTCCGATCCATTTATCATCTTACTTTTACCGAGAAACACACGTTGTCGCGTTGTCAAAGTTTCTACGTCGTAAATCTTTTTTACTTTACTGTTGTACAAATAACAAAAAGTTTATCCTTGCATATGGTATAACGTGCACGAAGACCCACATCGGTTATTCCATAGACAGATAGAGAGAGCGAGAGAGAGAGAGAGAGAGAGAGTCGATGGTCGGTCCGACGTTAGGATAGAGAGATATAGATAATTACGCAAAGAGATTTTTCGTTAAGGATTCCTTTAAGAAGCCTTAAGAAGAGAAAGTCTATACTATCCAATTGGGTAGTCGCATATGTATAGAGCGTGCTTGGTCGAAATCTATAGGAAGGTACCATGAGGTAAAATCACCAATGACTTTTTCAGGAATTCTCTCGTGGAAGCTCTCGTTCGCGGGCTAGAGGTTTCCGCGCACGAGGATCGGAGAGTAAATGGATGGCGCCGTCGCCGTCGCCGTCGCCGGCGCCACCACGGAGCAACGACGGCGACGGCGACGGCAACGGCGACGCCGCTACTTGCGCGCCGTGACGCTCGGGTGGCGCCCGAGCACGCGTCACGAGGCGCTAGAAAAGCGAAGGTGCCCACGGATGTATTTTTTAATTATTGATTTTAATGACGAGGAGAGCCGCGCCAACGCCATCTTGGATGCTGGGCGGAGTAAGGAGCGGCGCGGCGGTTCCCCCGTCCCTCCCTATCCTCTCCTCTCCTCACCTCTTCCCCTCGTACCGTCATTCTCGTTCTTCTCGAGCTGATTCTCCCTCCCTCCCTCTCT